CTGCATTCCCATTGGGAGCACAGTATTCCCTGATTTTGTTTGCGGTGTCTTTATAAAACAAACCTACCATGAATCATTGTGTTTATTTCCTCTCATGAAAGGATTTTCAATAGTTTAGAGGGGAAAAAAGGTAGTCAGGTAGCTGAAGGAAAAATAAAACACAAGCGAACATGAAGTCATGGAGTCCAGCAATAGAAAAGGTCAAGTTTTTTAACCAGAGGACCTATTACATGAGAGCAAAACTCTGAATTCTGACCTTCCAGGTAGCCAAGGCTAAAACAAACCAACAACAAAAATACAAGTATTACAACTTTTCCTATCAGATGAAAGAAAGTATATCGATTTATAGGGAGATACTTTCTTTTGGTATCATTATAATCTAAGAGTAATGTTAGGGCACAAAACACATAATATATGTTCCAATTGCAGTTTTATACATGATGCAGAAGTGGAACTTGTAGAATTGCCTGTATATTGACAATTCCAATGCCCAAAGCACTAATATGATCTCTATGTTGTTTGATGAAGGGTTTCTACAAGGATCTAAAGTCTGTGTGTTGCTGGGATGCTGGCATAACATGCTGTGTTCTCACAGGTTAGGCGGACGCTTACATTCTTAAAGAGCGTCAGATGAAATTATTGTCATGGGGAAGTTACCGGGTCCTTTGGTAAATTGAAGCAGGAGATACGTTGGATCAGGCTGCTTTTTTGGTGCCTTTAAAACCCTGTAGACAGAGATGTCTGCATTTATCTATGAACTTAACAGCCACCATGGGGCAGCCCAGGGGAATGAGGAAGGCTGGAGGAACACTGACTACTTAATTAAACCAACCTGGAAGTGCCCCCTCCAATCATTCACTCTTTTAAATATCCATGCTCATTTTTATTTATTGATCCGTTCTCCCACTGGTGCTAAGAAGTTTCTGATAAGATGTGGAGGAAGGTACAAAGAATAGGCTCAAATAGTGAAATTTTAAGGAAAACCAAAAATATTCAGTGAAAGCTTATACACTCCTCAAAATCTTCCCACATATATTGTATGGATTGGTTGTTGATGCCCAAATTCTTGAGCTTAATTGGTCCTGATTTCTTATTAACTTGATTATTAGCCTAACTCTTGTCAGAATTTATAAAAATCGTTGTTTGTGGATGCTTTGTAAATCTACATTATTAGCAATTTTTTAAAGAAATATGTTTTTATTGATTTTTAGAGAGAGAGGAAGGGAGATGGGTAGATATAGAAACATCAATGAGAGAAAAACTTCATCCATCAGCTGCCTCCTGCACACCCCCTATTGGGGATCAAGCCTGCAACGTGGGCATATGACCTGACCAGGAATTATACTGGTGATTCTTGGTTCATAGGTCCACACTCAACCACTGAACCACACCAGCCAGGCTATCAGCAATTTTTGTAGATATTTTTATATTGAGTTTTAGGCCTTCATATTGCTAAAATATTAAATGGGGAAAATTCATGGAACTTATTCATAAATAAATGTACATATATCTCCACAGACTCATTAAAGTAAGAACAGGCTGGTGACATATGGGGGGTGAAAGAGAGGGAAGGGAGTGAGGTCTTGAGAAAACCGAGAGAAAAAAATTTTAACCATTAAAGTTTATAAAGGACATAAACAATTCGATTTCTGTAATTTTAAAATTAGGAAGAGAAGACAAAAAACTTGATTCAGTTAGATATAACAAATACAATTAAATGGAGATGCAATTTAATTTATTGGAAGTAATGTAAGTTTTATGCAGATTATTGGCAGTACCTTATGAGGATGTAATACATTTGGGGAAATATCAAATTGAATATATACAAAAATATAAACAATACATTTTATGGTATGGTTTGGGGTGATAAGCAGTAGGGAAGGGGAGGGAGATAAAATTAACATAACATAAAATCCTCAATTATCCGTAGCTTTTGAGACATATCCTTGATAGTGTAGCTAAAGCATTTTATGCATATTCTTTAATTTTGTTCTTTTAAAGAAAATGCTCCTTTTATAAGGGATGAAGGAGAAAATAAACAGAATATTCAGACAGTAGCACGAACACTGTTAAACAAAGATGGCGCTACAGACAAAAGGAGCCATAGTCTGGCCGACAGCATCTCTGGGTCACCGTTTTCAATGACTAATGAGTTTATTTTTTAAAAGTAGGAATTTGGAATAGTTATACAGAGGGGTTGGTGTACGATGGGAGAAAGCACGAATACGAACAAGGCAACTCTAACTGCAGCATGCCCTCCTCTAGTTGGCCTGGGGATGAGAGGAAGGTACCTGCCTTTCCACCTCTCTGATCCAGCCCTGACAGAGGCCCTGATACCTGTTCAGGGGGCAGAGCTCTCTTATCAATAGGATGAGAGCTTTTGGTCCATTGTTTTTTAAATTATTTGCTTTAAAGGTTGTTGAAGTATTAGCTTTCAATTGTCATGTCCAACAGAGAATTCCCTTACCCCTACCCCTGACCCCCTTCCATATGAAGAAGGAAGGTCACTGGGAATATATACTACTAGTAGAATGTGCAGGCCAAAATAGGTTTTGGAGAAATCCTTTCAAAACCAATTCACAACAGAAAATGAAACAGCCCTCTATCATAGTCCTACCTCTGGTAAGCTATGAAAATAGGACTGGTTTGATAAGTTCAGTGACATTCTGCTTCTCCCTGGCAAATATTTACTCATACTTTTAAGAAAGTAACTAAATGCAGACTCAAGCTAGAAACTTAACTACTTAAATCCTTTGTAATTTAGCAGACTCCTCTTCACACAGAGACCATGACACATGTATTGTACGAAGATCCTCAACTCCACAGGGCAATTAGCAGGCTCCTAGGTTATGTCATTTTTACACTGTCCAGAAACAACTGAATAGAGGCCAGTCTTATTACGAAATACCTTCCCTTCTATAGAGGAATTTATTGGTTTACTTAACAAGAAGACCCTCAATTTATTTTAAATATGTATACACTTGTAGAAGTGGCATTTATGAACTGACCTGGAACAGAAGCACGCATAAAGAGAAGTATGTCTGCATATTTACTTAAAAACCAAGAAAGCACTTACGAGTGTGCCATGTTTCATTGCTTGCTGACTGGTGCTAGTGTAGAAAAGTGCTTATTCACTGCTCTCTCTTGTTGCATTGACTTCCAAGCCCCAAACCAAATCTCCTGACATTAGGAGTGCACATTCTGAAAGACAGTATGGGGGTGTCTTATGTTTAAAAGCAATAGGCTGTGGATTCTGACAGATCTGGCTTTGAACCCCCAGCCTGTCAATCATTAGCTGTGTGGCCCTGGGCAAGTTAACTAACCTTTCTGTTAGTTAGACTAACAGAAAGGTTAGTCTGCATCAGACTTTTCATTTGCAAAATCCCCACATATTTTTGTGAAAATTAAATTAATTAGTGTATGTAAAGTGCTTACACAGTTATTACAGTGATTTCAACCTTTTTCATCTCATGGCACACATAAATTAATTACTAAAAATTTAACGGCACACCAAAAAGTATGTATTTTGCTGATCTGACTAAGAAATAGGTATATGTTTGATCCATTCACAGCAGACAGCTATTGTTGGGTTGGCTGTTGTCATTTTTTTAAGTTGGCAATCTAAGGGAAAAGAGGTCAGTGCCCCTGACTAAATAGTCAGGTATTACAGGTTTTAAAAATTCTTGCAGCACACTAGTTGAAAATTGCTGTCTCAACATAATAGCAACACAACAGGAGGTTGCTAAAATTACTAGTAATTCCAGTGAAAGTCTAGCAACTCAACAAATGGTTGATATCTACTTACATCTAACTACACTGAAAAATCAGTGTGTACTAAAATCAAGTATTTGGGCAAATTCCTATCAGCTTTGCTTTCTAAGTGTACCATATGTATCTGCTTTGTCTCCCTATAGTGATTCTTCACTCCTATTAGAAATTATTTATTTTTAAATTTTGTAATTACATTTGTTCTAAAACTAAATAATACATTCTGAGGTCCAAAATTCAAAAGGTGCAAAAGTATACAGTGAGAAGTATCCTTCCTTTCCTTGCCTCCCATCGAGCTCCCCTCCCTAGAAGCTAATTTTCCAAATCTATTTTATACCTAGATAAATACACAATTAGCTACACTTATTCTCCTTTATTTCCTTTTTTCCCCCCACAAAAGTTAGGATACTATGTAGGGTTTTCAAATGAAATACTTGACATCCAGCTAAATGCACAATTTTTGAGTCTTATTCCAAAAAATTAATTTGTATTGTATCTGAAATTCAAATTTAACTGAGTGTCCTGAATATTATTTGCTAAATTACTGTCCTACTGTTTGGCATCTTATTTGTCTGCTTGTGTGTGTGTGTTTTCATATTAGAATCATCTGGGATGGTTTTAAAACTCCTCTCCTCAAGCCACACACTCCAGACCAATTTTATCAGAACGTCTAGGAATTGTACTTGGACAGCAATATTTTCCCCCCAGTGATTTTCTTTCAGTGACTTAATAGAGGAACAATTTATACACTAAAATGCACACCCATTTTAAGTGTATAGTCCCATGCCCATTGACAAATGCGTACACCTGTTTTTACTTAATATATTTTGGCAATCACTCAAAATTGTTTCTTAAAGAATAAACCCTTTAGAGCAAGTATTATAATCTATGCTACTTTTCGTCATAGGACTTGAGGACCTTATATGTGTTTCCGATAAATACAGGTTGACTAAGAACAGAGTTGTTTATTGCACTCATTATTAAGTGGTTTTTACAATTGATTTAAGAGAGAGAGAAAAATAGCAATTTGTTGTTTCACTTATTTATGCATTCATTGGTTGATTTTCTTATGTGCCCCGACTGGAAATCAAACCTACAACCTTGGAATATTGGCCAACACTCTAATCAACTGAACTTCCTGACCAAAGTTTTATTATTTAGGTAATGCACAAATTGAGAAATGTTGTTAATGAGTGTTTGCAGTTGCAATAGTAATTAAAAATAAATTACAGGATTGCAAAGAAGTTGTTGCCAACAGATCTCTCTCCACGTGTGCAGTATCTTCAAGGTGGCTGAGTGGTAAGCCAGGTTTTTTACGTTTACTGTGTGACCCCATTATTTACACAAGAGGGATCTGGGACTGAGGTTGAATAAAATTTTCAGGCCTTGTAGTTAGTAAATAGAGGAGCTGGGATTCAAACCATATCTGACTCCAAATCTTGCTAGGGTCACATCCTGATCTGGCCTAATTTTGAGTTTCCCACCTTTCTCAATAAGATTTCCGAAACTCCTTATATTCAATTTGGAAAAAAGATTTAGAATAGCTGGTTTTGTTTCTCAGAGGATGACTTCTTCAGCCAAAATGCTTTCAAGAGAGAATCAGCAAAAGAAACCAAACAGGTAAAATTCCTTTGGGTTCAAGTTTCTTTCATCTCTGTAAAGCCCTTACAAGGTAGTTCTGGATTTTGTGTTTGTTCACTTGTCTTGGATTACCTGAGCATGAGGGCTTCTGAAAAAAAAAAAATGAACGAACAGAATTACGAGTTGTGATTCAGGAGAGCAAGCAGTGTCTTTTGCCAATGAACTTTATCTTTTTGCTCAGATCATGTGTATCTCTCATACCTGTCTTGATGTGTGACTCAATGAAGGAACTGCATTAGAACAGTAGGGGTGCATATCTTATTTCTGCACATGCCAAATATTCTTTCTCTTCCTTTATGGATGCGTTTTAGGAAATGTATAATATAGAGACAGACCACAAAACCATTTCAGTTTCTGCAGCAGAGAACACAATGTGAGTATCTGTTTCAAGGTCATTTCCTGATATTGATATCTTTCAGTAAATTTGAGGCAGATACAGAGTAGAAACTGAATTTAATTCATGGCTTAGCTTCTTTCCTCTGTCTCCATTTATAGGACTTAGGAAATTTCTTGCATATAATTGATCTTCAGTAGATGTTTGTTGAACTGTCTTGACATTCTCTTTTAAAGTGACAACTGGTTGGTGTTGCTCATGGTTGAGCATTGACAGATGAACCAGGAGGTCATGGTTAGATTCCCAGTCAGGGAAAGTGCCCAGGTTTCAAGCTTGATCCCCAGTCAGGGGGCATGCAAGAGGCAGCCAATCCATGATCCTTCTTTAATCATTGATGTTTCTGTCTCTCTCTCTCCCTTCCTCTCTCTTCCTCTCTGAATTCAGTAAACATTTTTAAAAATTAAAAATAAATAAAAGTAAGAATATAGTATATTTTGGATAGTTTGGCAAAATGAGCATATCACTAACATTTAGCAAAAAGATGATGAGAAAGAACTCTCTAAGGTCCAATGAGTTTCAGAGAGAGCTTCATGCTTGGCAGTCCATGGCAAGTGTGGTCTTTAAAAAAAAAAAAAAAAAAAAAGACATCTAGGAAACTGTAATTTGAGTGATTCCAGTAGTTTGGAATTAGGTTTTGGCTCAGAATTCAAAGGAAAATGCTGTGATAGCAGCAAAGAAACTATAAGTATAGTTTTCTCTTAAGACTCTGAAAAAAAAAGAGAAAAAGGGAAATGAGGTCAACTTTTTAATGTTTTATTAATTCTCTTTGGTTTCCTTTTGGTTTTTAAATATATATATATTTTATTGATTTTTTACAGAGAGGAAGAGAGAGGGATAGAGAGTTAGAAACATCGACCTGCTGCTGAGACCTGTTTGGCTCAATGGATAGAGCGTCGGCTTGGGGACTGAAGGGTCCCGGGTTCAATTCCGGTCAGGGGCATGTACATTGGTTGCGGGCACATCCCCAGTAGGGGGTGTGCAAGAAGCAGCTGGTCGATGACTCTCTCTCATCGATGTTTCTAACTCTCTATCTCTCTCCCTTCCTCTCTGTAAAAAATCAATAAAATATATTAAAAAAAAAAAAGAAGAAACATTGACCTGCTGCCTTCTACACACCCCCTACTGGGGATGTGCCCACAACCAAGGTATATACCCTTGACCAGAATCGAACCTGGGACCCTTCAGTCTCCTTGCTGACCCTGTGTCCACTAAGCCAAACAGGTTAGGGCAATTTTCTTTGTGTTTTTATTTAATTCTGTGAATTGGTCTGAAGTGTATTGATTCTGTCTTTTTCTGAAGTATCACAGTCATACCTGGTAGGCCATTTGGTGGGTTCTCTTCATGTCTATTACTGTTAGTACACCTTATCTTGTTTGAAAGACTAGCCTTTATGGTATATGCTCAGAATGTTACATAGCTCTTGTCAGGAGTTTATAAAATTCCCTTTTATCCAGCTCAGGCCTTCTATTATCTCATGTCTAATGTTTTCATCTCATTTCATCCTATTTGTTCAGACCATTTTCATTTGAATTTTTTGGTAGCTTTTTTTTTCTTTCTTTTTTTTTTTACATTTGGAATCCAGTAATACAAATATGTCTTTATAAGTTCTCACTGAACAATTTGATATTTCTTCTTACTTCTCACCATTTTATTGCATCTTGTTTCAATACATCTTTAGACTTAGTGTAGTAGTAGCAAACATGCAGATCATTATATATTCAATTAAATGCCACTGGTAGAGGGCCATTGACTTTATTTTACTAGGTTTCCTCTCTATTTTTCCATTAAGGAATTTCATTAATACAAATATGCCTTGTTCTAATCTTTGCTCCTTTTTCATAATCCATTTCACAAAATATGTTGTGTCTTTTTTTAATCAGGTACTTTACTAATGAAAACTTGCCTTGGAAGGCATAGGTTTAGGTCATTGTGGGAGATAATGAGTTTGATGAGTTAACTTAATCAACACTAATGAGTGAGCTAGTTAATATATTATCTCCTTGATAATTTCTTGCTGTAATATAGTTTAAATTACTTCTTTTCACTAGACCCATAAGGAATGTCTATTGCATGAGGCTCCCATAACGACTTCAATCATCATGGCCCAGCAGATGCTGGGATCCAAGAAAGTCTTTATGTACACCTCAAGATACCGTCTACAGAGACCATTTTTAGAGAACAATTATGGGTGTGGGGGAGAATATAGAAAAAAACAAGAGTTTCTTTCTAGAACTTTGTCTTTGTATCACATAAGGAAAGATCAATCATAACTTTATTTTAAAATATGTGGGGTTTGAAAAATAAAGCAGATAAATTATAAATTTTTCTAATCCCCCAAAAGTTATCTATAATAGAGGTTCTAAGTATTCAACTTCACTGAAATTTGTCCACAGGAAAACCTGCCTGTGGAGTCTCACATCTTATGGGACAATAATTAATTATCCTCTGTCTAGGGAACAAGTCCAAAGTGAAAACAGGGGCTCAGTAGCAAACATCATCCTTTCATTTACAGAGAATGTAAATGTTATTAGCATCCTATGGTGATGATGCTTTCTGGAATTTTTCTGCAACAGCCACATTTTTTATATATTTAAAAACATGAACCAGGGAACTTATATGCACATATGCATGCTCCATAGACACAGACAATAGAGTGGTGAAGGCCTGGGATGTGCATGTGTGGGCTGAAAGGAATCAATGGGAAAAACAACAAAGGGGAAATCTGTAATACTTTCAGCAATAAAGATACATTTCAAAAAAGAGACAAAATAATGTGTTGCCCCATCTGGAGCCTTGCATATGGGATCATAGAAATGAGGGTTTTAGCCAATGAGTTTCTTGCATGAGATTCTGTGATATTGCACATTATAATGAACAAGAAGAAACATAGCACTTTGTAAGGCGGAAGAAGGACTTTGGGTGTTATTTTCAGTTTGATGGGATGCCATTGCAAAGCATTAGGCAGAACAGAGATGTGGTCTAATTTATAGTTTTAAAAAAGAACTGCTTGTTATGTGGTGAATGGTTTGGGGAAACGCAGAACTGGAGGCTTGAAGACAAGTTAGGAGATTCTTATGAATTGCAGTGACCAGTCAGTTTGTTCAAATTAGAAGCCTTCTGAGAGTGGAAGGAGATGCTATTTACAGAACAGGAGGCGGAAATTGGCCATGTGGTCAGCATACCTGGGCATGCGGTTGCTTTAACTATTGCGGTTGTTGTTGGGGTAGTGGGACCTTTTATGCCATTTTATTTAATCACACAATGAACTCTCTGGGCCCATTTATCTGGGTGATAAATGTTTATTGGGTGAGTGAGTAAATGAGTGAATCTGGGGGGAATAGTATCCTTGCTTTCTAAATGGCTATAAGTAAAATATGAAGTCTAATTTTGATGATATATCCCATACTCTTTCTCTAATTTCTTACCAATATCCCTCCATTTTTGCTTCTCAATGTTTTTAACGTGTCTCACATATAAGTCGATGTTCTTTTTTCATTTCCTCCTCTCTCTTGGGTTTAGTATTTTACATATAGAGGTTCTGTAAATGTGTTTTCTGTACTAGTTTTTATCAAAAGCAGAGATCTTAGAGGTCATTGACAGTGTAGAGTCCTCAGAGACATTTTGATCTTCCCTTTGAAGCACACTGTGCCACATTTAATGCACAACCTCATAAGGCCTCCACCTGGGCAGTCTGTCAGGGTCCATTTCACAGCACTGATGGTGCCCTAATGTACCACACACTTCTTATACAAAGAACTTCCTTCTCTGTCTTCTGCCCATTCAGGAAATTAGTACCATCCTACTTCCGAGTAAAGAGAACTAGGCACCATTTCTGTAGTATGCCACCCCCTCTTTACAATTAGAGTAGTTTGTTGTTTTGTTTTGTTTTGTTTTTAGAAGTTAGAAGCTTTTAAAATAATTTTAAAAATTAATTTCAGAGAGAGGATGTGAGAAGAAAAGATAAAAACATCACTGGTGAGAGAGAATCATTGGTCATCTTTCTCCTGCATGCACCCTACTGGGGATCTAGCCTAAAGCTTGGGCATGTGGCCTGACTAGGAATCAAACCGTGACCTGCTAGTTCATGGGCCGATGCTCAACCACTGAGCCACACTGGCGGGGCTAGGGTAGCTTTTGCCTATTGGAAAACTTGCACCAAATTCTCAATAAAAAAGGTAAACTTACTTTCCTACTTTGAATGATGGGCATAGAAAAATTCAAGTGTATATATTTACAAAGTTTGTATTGAAAATTGTATCTATGTCTTGCTTACTCCATAAACATTCAAGCAAACTTATTTTCTAATAATATTGGGTAAAATAAGAGACTGGCTTTAAGGAGTGGGTGCACAGTCCACTCCCTAAAGACCTTTCCATGCTTGATGTACCTGTATGCATCTGTGCACGGGTGTGTGTATGTACATACAAGCCTGTGTGTTCATTATGACCTTGCCGATTCTTTGCAATCAATACCCGATATAACCCAGTCAATGCTGTTATGCTGGAGAAAAAAAAAAAAATGTTCCAGCTTGTATTCTTATACTCATTCCTCAGATTTTATTTTACTTATGTGTATTGCATAAAAAAAAATGTAGACCTTCTCACCATGACAGATAATATATTATTTACTGACATTTGTAAAAATATCTCGATTATTCAACAAGGACACCTTACCTGTAGTTGAATTTATAAGACTAGTTTCTGGCCTTCACTGTTTTGGCTCAGCAAATAGAGCATCGGCCTGCAGACTGAAGGGTCCTGAGTTTGATTCCAGTCAAAGGCACATGCCCAGGTTGGGAGCTTGATCCCTAGTGGGGGGCATGCAGGAGGCAGCCGATCAATGGTTCTCTCTCATCATTGATATTTCTCTCTCTCTCCCTCTCCCTTCCTCTCTAAAATTAATATATAAAAAAAGACTAGTTTCTGTTTGAGATTCTAGGGAAAGTCAGCTCTTCTAGAAGTTGGGAGAGTTTCAGGTGTATAATATCATAGCCCCACCCTCTGCTTAATTGGGGGAAATAAAATTAATATTAGCCTGTGTTAGTCATTGTATAAATATGAACTAGAAGACCAGCTACTGATATTATCAGAGAAGGGCAGAGCCAACTTTATTCTCAAACACAAACTCCCCAATAGTCAATGGAATATTTACCTTAATGTATTTAACAGAAATATATAGACACAGCAAATGTAAAACTACTTTCTTTATTTGTGTAACTATAATAGAACTTATACTCCTGAAATTTAATATATGAGCATTTAGCTTTCATAAGTTTGCTTCTCACTGTACCTACCAAACTGAGCTCAGATATCAGCAGGAAAGCTTTTAGTTTGCAGTTAAGCTTGCTGGAACCTTAGGAAACCAGACAGTGAGAGAAATATAGGTGGATTATTCTGTTTAAAAGTTGATGACAGCCGAAACTGGTTTGGCTTAGTGGATAGAGCGTCAGCCTGCAGACTGAAGGATCTCAGGTTCGATTCCTGTCAGGAGCATGTACCTTGATTGCAGGCACATCCCCAGTAGGGGACGGGCAAAAGGCAGCTGATCGATGATTCTCTTTCATTGATGTTTCTAACTCTCATCTCTCTCCATTCCTCTCTGTAAAAAAAATAAATTTAAAAAAATAAAAAATAATAAAGTTGATGACAGTGATATAGGAAGGGCATTCTTTGATGTTGAAGAAATAGATTGATTCCCAAAAATGTCTTAAGGACATAGACCTTAATAAATTGGGAAGTGCCAGATAAGCAACTATATTTTTTTGTGATAGATAACTTTATTGTGATTCTTTCCCCTCTAAGATGTTAAAATTTACTCAGTATTTTGACTTAATGTAGTAAATGATGATATCTGTCCTTTTGTTCAAAAATACCAGAAAGTAATATGTAGATCTTTAAAGGGAAATGTGATGTTTTTCCTTGGGCAGGAATGGACTTCAAGGAGCCGAGCTTGCAGAGTTCTCCCAGCAACCCAGAGTGACTCTGGAAAGTACAGGCAAAGCTAATTTCATAAGAACTGACTCAGACCAAGTCTTAGCTTATGAAAACTCCAACTCTTGGCATTTATGCTGAAATCATGATTCTTTTCTCAGTGAGCACAGCCACTGTGGGTTGGAGCAGTCAATAGAGTATGTTTCCAACAAAAGTCCCTTTCTCAGTGTTGTGTAAGTCTGAGTAGCAACCTTATTTAAGTATAATTTCAGCCAATGATGCACACTTTTGAATATTTCCTGGCTTTTCTCAGCCCCAAACTGTGATTAACTTGAAAATGTGTGCAAGTTCTAAAGTTACAGAACACTGGAGTACCACAGTGCCCTGCCAGGATTCTCTTCAGGATCAGACCTTAGCAGGCTCCATGCCAGGCACTGGGAAGCTGCCTGCTGCTTCGTCTGATTAGATGTTAAAATGTACCAAACAACAGGGAAAGGTGGGCATACTGTAAATGTCTTTGTGCTAATGATGACTTTTCTTTTCTCACTAGAACAGCTGGGGGTGAAAGTTGTCAAAGGCAAAATTATAAATGTTTTATATTGCAAAATGCCAAGTGAGTTTAAGACATGGTCAACTTATTAGGTTACTGCCAGGAAGTAAACAATAGACTCATTAAAGCTATAATTAGTCATTGTTGACATATTTTCATTTTTATCAGGGCTCCAGGAGGGATAAAAGTGAAATAATCTAGTGCTTTGCTAAGTAGAGGTAAAACCAGTTTTTAAAACTCAACCATGCCTTTTTCTTGGGATTTTTTTTCTCTACCACCATATTTTTTTTTCCTGAAGAATTTGTTGACTTAATTTTAGGCTATAAAGTAATTTTTTCAATTATTAATTATTTTATGTGTGTGCTTTTTTTGTTTTTGTTTTTTTGTTTTTTACATTGTATCATTAGTCAAAATGTTTTAGTTCTTTATGGTTCCTTATTTTTTGGCAAGTCAAGAGTGGAGGGGGAATTTATGGCGATGGAATGCATTGAGCCAGAGGTTTTACATATAACTTCAGATACAGACCATAAGAATCCAGAGTTAAGTAATTTGCCCATGGCCACATGTTGGGTAAATGGCTAAAAGTAACTCAGGGCAATGGACTCCAATAGCTACCTTTTACCGTTACACCATGGTCAACCCTTAATCCTGCAAATCCAACCTCAGCAGCCAAGCCCCCAGAATGTGTCCTGTGCTTCTAAGCCAAGTTTCCTGTAGCCAGTGACACTGGGTACGCATTCTGCCTGCAGGGCCAGTGAGTGCTCTGCTCATCCCAACCCCTCTTTTCTTCTTTCCCTATCAAGTTCAGCTCTTATCTCACATCCTCCATGAAGCCTTCCTAATTATTTCTGCTCCCACTTGCTCGTCCTTTATTAGTTTTTCCTTCTCCTCTAAATACCTTTTAGACTTTAAACCCTAGATTTTGTGGTATAGACCTCATTTTAAGTATCTGGTCAGATAAAGGGACTTAATGTTTGTTTATTTTCTCTCCCACATAAGAAATAAGAACAATGTGTAATAGTCTTCCTTATTTTCCATTCAGCCTCATATCATACACATTGCAGAAATAAAATTCCAATTTAGAAATTTCTATTAACCTAAGCATCTACATAGCGCAAACATTCCCTGTGAGACAAATAAGCACTTCCTTTGGACTAACTCCATTCTTTGTAGATATGATCTCTCTTTGCCAACATTTGCCAAGCTTCTGGCTAACTATCAGCCAAAACAATGACCAGCCAAAATTCTTTTTTTAAAGAGCTCTTGGATTTCTTATCTTCCATATTCTTGGAGTTACCTCATGTTTACTTGAGAAAGTTATAATAATATGGCACATTTTATTTTCATTAATATGTGCCTATGAACCCACCAATGCTATCTAATTTGGCTTTTTTATATCTCTGAGAGGCAGACTTTGTGGGCACATTTTGGATTAGTATGTCTTTTCTCAGATAATGAAGCGAAGGAAAGCAGTACAAGTTGTCATGACTTCCTCAAAGCAGCAGCCAGCTGGAACATAAGCCAGATTGTAAGATGATTAGACCAACGTCTGAAAACTTAGAAAAGTATCTTTTAAATGAGCATCTCTTTAAGTTAAAAACGTATCTGTCTTTCTACATGAAGACATTGTTTAAGAGTAGACGCTTCTGTTTATGCACATACAATTAATGTCCTTGGACATGACACATAACTCCCTGACATGAATTCAGAGAGATGGGTTAACTGAAAAGGAACTGTCTTGTGACTTGTGCTGGTTGGCCCATTGAAGCAGGTGACTATGGTCAAATAGGACCCATCTTCCCAACGTGCTATCTTAGGAGGCGATATGCCTTCATGAATGTGGTATACTCTTCACTTCAATTAGCCAGAGTACAAATTAGGAATCATTCATCGGTCGTGAGGAGTCTCTGGGGTAAGAGGAGGGGCCGTGGTTCTCAAACTTAGTTGTGTATTGGAATCATCTGGAGAGCATCAGAAGATACTAATGCTTTTGTATCACCATTAGAATTCAGATCTGCTTGGTTTGGGGTGTGGCCTGGGCATCAGGGAGTTTTTATTTAATTTTTATTGAATTTATTAGAGTGACATTGCTTAAGAAAATTATATAGGTTTCATGTGTACAATTCTATAATCCATCATCTGTGTATCATATTGTGTGTTTACCACCTCAAGTCAAGTCTTCTACTACACCCTGTCCTATACCCCACTTTTCCTTTGAGAATTATCATACTGTTGTCTGTGTCTGTAAGTTTTGTTTTTGTTTTGGTTTAATCTCTTCACCTTTTCACCTAGCCCCCTAAATTCCTCCCTTCTGACAGCTGACCATCTGTTCTCTCTATCTACAAGTCTGCTTCTATCTTGTTTGTTTATTTATTTTGTTCATTAGATTCCACAAGGAAGTGAAATGATATGGTATTCATCTTTCTCTTACTGACTTACTTCACTTAGTATAAAGTCTCCAAGTGTGAGAACCACTGAGTTGGAAACCCCTTTTCTGTTTTTTCTGATTGATCTAAAGGAGACATTGGCCCCTCTGTAGATACTAATCTGCTTTATGATATCACAAGCTTTTCCAGCCTTGAAGATATATAATTTGTATTGAAGATTCTTTTGATATAAGGCTTTGCAGAATTTTAAGTATTTTATATTTCTTTCTCTTGCTCCCTAGCTGGAATTTTGGCTAAAAGACCTAGGAGAGCATTGAAGAAAAATATGACTCCCTTATGAAAAGTAAGTCATGCAGAAAAGCTTTCCAGGTCAAATACTAAATCTTTCAAAACATTCTTGAATCTTAATTTATTTAATCTGAACATTCATGCAACATCCTCTGTGCAGTTATTTAGAGTGAGTACAATACCATCTTGGGAGCTACTAATTGTCAGGGAAGCAAAATTTAGGATATGTGAGGGAACAAAAGTTACATGTAGCTGGAAAAGCATAGTATAAGTGCATTATAATAATGGGTTTCAGCAGAAGAAGGAACCATGAGCTGCGTGCCAAGCTTTGCTGATGGCAGTCAGCAAAAAGAAATTGCTCTACACCATAACAGGATCAGGTCAGATAAACTAACTCCAGTGGGTTTTCTACATTAGAATGAATTGAGTTGCTGGAGGGGGTTACACAGCTCAACCTTCTGGAGGGCCTGCCTAGAGGTGAAGAATGATGATGGAGAATGTAATGGGCAAAGCTGGGTGCTCTTCTGTTGTAACTTAGCTGGATATTTAAACTCCAGGTTCCAGGACATGTGTGCAGAGAGGCTATTCTGGAAAGGCTCTGGAATTTGCATTTGTAAATCCCCAATGGGGATATTGATGTGGTTGGGTCCCACTGGTTAACATATGCCGTCAAGTTTCATTCCAGTGGTATTTCACAGGATCCTGGTAACTGGTCGGCCCTGATGTTTCTCAGGGAGTTTCAATTACTCAGTCCTCATGGTGAGCACATTTGCTCAGAACATGGGCTCTCAGGACCCTGTTAAATGATAAGTATTTTTACAATAATAAATTATTTTATTTAATTAGGTCATAGACTATATTGATTTCAGGAGGGTATTATTGTTTGAATACACAGGGCACCCTTAGTAAATGGCTTCGTTATAAATAAGTATGCATTAACATCTAGCTAAGACAAATCAATTATTTAAAAAATAAAATGGAGTATTCTTACACTGTTGAGCTTTAAAAAGAATAGCTTTACTGAGGTTTAATTCACATACTATAAAATTTACCCTCTTCAAGTATGTAGCTCAGTCGTTTTTAGTATATTTGCAAAAATATGCCAACATTACTATCTGAAGCCAGAACATTTTCATCATCCTTAAAAACAAAATAAAACACTCCTCATACCCTTTAACAGCCACTCCCATTGCTCCTCTCCATGTTCCAGACAAATACTACTTTGCATTATGTCTCTATGAGTTTGCCTATTCTGGATGTTTCATATAAATAGAATTATACAAATGTAACCTGTTGCTTCTGGCTTCTTTCACTTAAGCATGTTTCCAAAGTTTATTCATGTTGTAACATGTATCTGTACAGCATTCTCTTTTTATGGTTAGGCAATATGCTATTGCATGGCTATCCTATATTTTATCTCTTTATCCACTGGTAAACATTTGGGTTATTTCCATTTGGGGGAAATTATGAGTATTTGTGTACAAGTTTTTGCATGGACATATGTTTTCATTTCTTTTGGAAATAAGCCAATTAGTGGAATTGCTGAGTCTAAGAGTCACTCTACGTTTAATTTTTTTTAGAGTGCCAAACTGTTTTCAGAACATTTTACATTTTACATTTCTACCATTGACATAGGAGAACTCCATTTCTACACACAGCCTTCCCCACACTTGCTTTGTTCATATATTTCATTATAGCCATCCCAGTGGGTGTGACGTGGCATTTCATTACAGATTTGATTGGTACTATTCTAATGATTAATGCTGTCTTGGAATCTTTTCACATGCTTATTGGAAATTTGTATATCATCTTTGGAGAAATAGATTTAAATCCTTTGTCCACTTATTAGTTTGGTTATTTATCTTCTTATTTTTGAGTTGTAAGAATTCTTATGTAATCTGGATTCAAGTTCCCTACATGATTCACAAATAGTTCTGGGGGTATGTTTTCACTTGTTTGATGTCTTTTTTAAGCACAGTGAGTTTTTCATTGTGATGAAATGTATTTCTATACTTTTTTCTTTTGTTACCAGGTTGTTGGGTATTATATTTAAGAAACAATTGCACAATCTAAGGTTATGAATATTTACTATTTTTTTCTAAGAGTTTCATCATTTTAGCTCTTACACTTGGGTCTATAACCCGTTTTTCATTAGTTTTTATATTTGTAGTAAGACAGCAGTCTAAATCTATTCTTTTGAATGTAGCTATCCAGTTGCCTGAGAAGCATTTGTTGAAAAGATTATTCTTACCCATTGAATTGTCTTGCCACTCTGGTCATAATTGACCATCAATGTAAGAATTTATTTCTAGACTCTCAATTTTGTTCCATCGATCTATTTGGGTGTCATTAGTCTGTGCCACATTGTATTGATTGGTGTATCTGTAA